TCGGAAATCGCTCAAAAGTTGATACGGATCTACGATTTTGATATAATACTTATATATGAAATTTCATCAACCTAGCTGTAACGGTACTCAAGTTATCGTGTTTACACACGGACAGACACACACACAGACACACACACACACACAGACATACGGACAAGATTGCAAAATTATGTTTTTCCGTATCAGTGAGGTGTAAAACGTCGAGATTTGTAAAAATCTCGATTTTTTTTTGCACGATTACAATACTTTCTCTATACTACGTATATACGAGAAAGTAAAAAAAAATGTAAATTAAGGCTAGGAATGTATCACTCTGTGTTTAGCTATCGTTGGCCTGTCACCAGTTTTTTGTTTGTCTTATTAGATTAGATTAGATCATGATATTCCCGTTGTTAAAGTTTAAAATATGAATGAAATATATTTAAAAATGTTACTCTTAGAAACATATTATATATAACTTTCGTTTTTGAATTTTGTAAAAATACAGTTCATGTTTTTCTACTAAACTGAGTCCCGGAAACAAAATAGTATTCATGTACAAACTAGAAAGACTGCATTTTTTAAATTTAAAGATATATCGATTGTTTATTGGTGTATTGTAATGTTGATATAAATATCTTTGAAGGAATTTTTGCAAATGTACGTATTTGTTCTAAACTTTTTAGGTGCAGCATATACCAAGCACGACCCAAGCTCACAATAGTAATATTTTATTTCCACTTTTACCGCTTTAAATGAAATTTCTGAACTTTCTATTAAAACATACTAAAACACAAGTTTTGCTCAGTTCAAATTTGATTAAACATAAAAAGTAAACAGTTAAATAAAAAAAATAGGCCCTACTTGGAAAACGAAACATAACATAACAAGCCCAACATCTAAAAAAAAACAAATATCTCATGTGTGGTTCAAACTTTTCTAGTTAAATAACAAGTAGGTGCCTATGATACACAGAAACTTACACACTCAACAACACACACACTCACACACACTCACACTCACACACACACACACACACACTCACACACACACACACACACACATATATATATATATATATATATATATATATATATATATATATGGTTCCATGACAAATGATCTCAGACAAAATATCCCAGACAAAATATCTCACGGACAAGAGTCAAATAGATTACCTTTATTTATTATCGCTAGACTAAATAAAAGTATGTGCTATATATTTTGAACAATTTTACACACATTACAATATAAAAGAATTCAACAAAACAAAACACTGTTACTGAGAAAAACGAACAAACAATTTTGTACCGACCCCCCCCTCCCCCCGCAACACACACACACACTGAAGTTAGAACCAACAGCACAAGTGGAGTCTGACTATACTGTAGGCATATTACTTATTTTAAAAACAATTACTAAAAAATCGATACCTCCAACATTAAATCTAGAATCCGTTTTCGTAATGTTAAATCAATCGAATACACCAAACACAGACCTTAAAATGGGTTACGTCTGTTTATCGCTGGTATTCCCGAATTAGATGATTGCTATTTGAAAATAGTGTTGGTTTCTCTAAACCAAACAAAAACCATAATCACCGTCTTAACTTCAAATTTAACTGGAAACGAAAAATGTAATTGAAAACAGATTTTTTTCTATAATCGGCATATTATCCGGATTTAAGCTTGAACAACACGTAGGTACTGTACATTAATATTAAATATAGTCGTAGTCATACCACTAAACTTTGCACCTAAGCTCAAACATGACGTAAGTCGCATTTAGAGTTTCTTTTAAGCGATTCTCAATGGAATATATACTTTTACCAATGTCTGCACCCACCTCATAAAACTTAGTCCAAACCTACCCCAGAATCTTCAAGTACCACCCACCCCCCTTTAGGTTTAGAAGAAACATTAGTCGCATTTGTAGATCATACAGACTAAAGTTAGACCCTACTTGTATAATTTAGACCCGTTTCCTACTTTTGGCCGATAACCCATGTGATGGGGATAGTTTTTCTTCAGACTTTTTTCTATACATTTTATCTAACACAGGTAAATTTATTTATTTTCTATATCAATTGTTTTTCGTTCTAGGGTGGGAGGGCGGGGATTCCAGAGCTGCTAAAGATATACTTGAATAAAACTCTGCACGAAAACCACGTTTAAGGTTAGACAAATGAATTAGGCGGCAATTTCAGTGTCTTTATTATCGAGTATCGACATTGTCACTGTTGTTGTGTATTTTTTGGCATTTGCTTTTTAATTCTGTTAACTCTACATTCAATAACGTCTGTATGATTGAGATTAATCTGCAAAAAGTAAGTATAGATTATAGATTTCGCGTCTACCTTTAGTCTGTATAATCAACAAATGCGACCAGTGATACTTTCAGGACATTTTTCTGGGGTCGGGGGGGGGGGGGGGCGAACAAAATTTTACAGGGCAGGGGAATGGACGAGGAGGGCGGAAACTGGTAAAAGTATATATTTTCGATATAAATTCTGTTTTGTTTTTCGGAGGGCTCCACTCACACCCCTTTCCTCCAACCCGCCCCTAACGTAGAGATACGTAAATTCAACTTTTTGCAAGTTTGAGCTTATGTGCAAGGTTTAGCGGTTTGACTACAACTATATTTTGTATAATGTGTAGTAACAACGTGTAGATCAAGATTACCTGATAAGGTAATGTTGAAATGTATACATGTAGCGTTTATACACAAAATATAATGGCTTCAATGATGTTGAAAAAAGTTAAGAAGCGAATACTGAAAACGATACACAGTAATAATGACGTCATTGATAATTTACACACAAATTTAAACGCCTAATTTTAGAAGTGAACTAGACTTACCCGGTCATCCCTTGGATAACTGTGGGTTTCGGGGGTCATCCATAAATGACATCACGTCTATCACTTATCATCATTTAATAACCAGACCCCAAATTAAAAAAGACGTTTTTATATTTTAAAAACACCGATTTCGGCTGAGCATAGGTCTGACCACACTATTTCTTCATATACTGACGTCACAGGTGACCTACTCAGCTCTACTTCACCTGCCCAGTGTCACGCCAAGTCAAAGTTAACTTGTTTTTATCGTTTAAAAAAACGATTCCGGGCTAGCATGTCTCTGACCACACTTTCACTTGACATGCTTAGGACAAAGAAACAGATGAACTCTAATTCACCTGCCCTGTAACCCGCCAAGTTCAGATAGGCAACTTTATTTACATCTAAAAAAAATTGAATTTTTTTTAACATTGACGTGATGTGTCTAGAACACGTGCCACCCGCGTGAAAGCCTATTACATTTACAACTTGGCTATCTATATCTAGACTCGTGATGTCAATGATGTTTTTGTGCTCTATAATAATACTTTGAGTCTGGTTATGCAACTTGATTTACGCGCATAGGCCCAATCTAGATCTAGATCTAAGTCTAGTAACTTTCAAATTAAATTTTATCTTAGCCCAGTTCATAGCTGAACAAACAAAGATTATATAAAATAATAAAGGTCTGAAATAGTTTAGTATATAGAAACTCATTATTATCTAAATCTAGATAGAATTATCTATATTCTACAACTGGTTTACGTAAGTTTAGTTTTTGCCTTGCTCTTGCTAGATCTAGATTAGACCTATTCTAGATCTAGATAGATAATTCACAAAGATTTATATCAAGTATTTAAGGACTAAAGTAGTTTAATAAAGAAACTCAAAAATGTGTTATGATTTCAAAATGGATTGTATTTTTAACTAATTAATAAGTTACTTGCAAATTGGTATTGTACAGTTTATTAAATGTATACAATTCATTTTCAGGCAGTTGCTTACACAGACGAAGAGGTGAATCTTCTATTGATTGGTAAAACTGGCAATGGCAAAAGTAAAACAGGCAACATGATTCTGGGTCGTGATGAGTTTCCAGCTGATTCAAGCTGTGAGTCAGTGACGCATAATGTATCATCAGCAGTCGTCAGAATAGGTAACCGTATCATTAAAGTTGTAGACAGTCCTGGTGTAGGTGATACGGCAGCAATAGATGATCTAGAGCAGGCGACAGAGCTTGTAATCAACAGTATGAAAACTGCGATTCTTTTAACTCCTCAAGGTTACCATGCTTTTCTTCTTGTCGTTAGATTCGGCACTAGATTCACAAAGGAAGATTTTGAATGCATCCGATTGTTAAAAAATATATTTGGTGAGGACTTTGTGAAACAATTCTGCATACTTGTTATGACACATGGTGACGTTTTTTGTAAAGATTCCAAAAACAAGGAAAAAACTTTTGAAATGTGGTGTCTTGAGCAAACTGGTGTGTTTAAGAATGTGTTAACTGAATGTAACAACCGAGTTGTTATGTTTGACAACTGTTCAAAGGATGCGGAGAAACGAAACCTACAAGTTGCTACGGTACTAAGTCTTATTGATGATATTCAACGTAGAATTAAGCGGTACAGCTTTGAAAACTTTAGTTACACAGAACAGTCGAGAAAAATAATTTTAGTTAAATCTAAAGAACCCAAAATACGAGATGACGCAATGAATAAACAAAGATTGATTTTAAATGACTATGACAAGTTACAATATACAGATAACCTTACAGAACAGAGATCAATAACTGAGAACCTTGTTAACGAAATTAAAAAGCTTCGTGAATATTTAGTTGCTCAAGATAATGAGACTGGGGCATTAGCTGATCTTATCAGAAACATAGATCAAGTGCATGCCATGTTCAAAGATAGAATTAATTCAATATCAGAATTACTTGAAGCCAATTACAAATTACAAATAGAAGAGAAAATGCACCAGGAACAACAAGAGACATTGAATAAAATTCTTAACAAGATGTTAAAAGAGCAAAAATTAGAAAAAAAAAACTTTTCGAAGAAAGAAAAAAAATGGAGAATGAAACTATGAAAAAAGAAGTGGAAATTAAAAAAACAACTACAAGAAGAAGAGAAGAAACGTAACAAAGTATTAAGAGCAGAAAATGAAAAACATCAATTCGAGATGGAAAGAATACAAAAAGAACGAGACGAGCTAAAGAAAAATAAAGAATTGGGAGAAAAAGAAAGGACGGAAATAGAAAAACAATATCAGAAAAATGAACAGCAACTCAAGAAACAATTTGACAGTAAAATAAATGAAATCAAATTGCAATTTGAGGTGGAAAAAAGCAATGTAGAAAAAATGATACAACTTGAAAAAGAAACCTTAGAGAAAAAATACAAAGAACTGACGGATAAATACAAGAAAGAAAGCAAAAACCTAGAACAACGAATACTAAATACCACTTTAGAGAAAGATAATGTGTGTAAACAGCTGGAAGAAACAAAACAGAAAAACCAACAACTGGAAACGAGTTATCAAAATCAGTGTCTGCGGCATAAAACCGAACTTCGCGATAAGGAATTAGCTTTGACAGAAATGAAGCATAAAAACCAACTGCTTATCAAGAAGCTTGAACTTGCTGAAGTAGCAAATGCCGAGACTTTGGAATCAAAACTAAAAGACCTGGAACAGCGATATGGGAAAATCAAGGCTAATTTACCAAAAGAAGAGAAACAGCGGATTGAAAAGAAAATCAACAAATTACAGATAAGAAACAGTTATTTATATAAAGATTGTTGTATCATATAAATTTTAAAAGTTTTCAGAACATAAATAAAAAAAAACAACTTATTTTGTGATAATAAAATGAAAATTGCACTTTCTTATTTATAGTATACAGAGTATAGAGGAACTTAGTATATTTAATCTTGAGAAAAATTGAATTCGAGTCTGAAAAACGAAACATTTTGTAATCGTGTCAATCAGTCTGTTTTTCTTTTTGTGTGACTGTCTCTAAATAGCGATTTCCAGTAAGCGGTAATGCTTATGTACTCACTTTCTGTGTAAACAATTTTACTTCGAGAAAACAAATTGCATATATTAGTATAAGAACTAAAAATTATACGCAAATTTATATATATTTCGTTTAAAGGTGTCCGATATCTAGAACAGGTACGTATTTCCATTGTCTAAAATATCGATAGTTTAAGGACTGTTTAAGTAAGTTTGACTAAACATTAATAAGGACCGTTAGTATATTTTTATCAACATTTCAGCATTTCTGACGAAAATAATTTTTACTTTTATTGTAAACGAATTATAGAAAAAGTTTTGTAATCTTGCAAAAAAAAAAATAGAAATCAAGATTTTCACAAATCTCGACGTTTTAAACATCACTGAGTCGGAAAAACTTAGTTGTGCAATCTCGTCCGTGTGTCTATGTGCGTGTCCATTTATGAACACAATAAATTATGTACCCGCACAGGTATGTTGATGAAATTTCAAATATAAGTATAATATTAAATTTGTAGTTCTGTAACAATTTTTAAACATTGGCAGTTATCGGAATTGGAACTTATTCTACTTTTGGTTGAGTACTGTTTAAGGTAGATATAACAAAAAATTACATACTAGTAAAGGTTCTATTTCTCTGCCATCTGTCAAATTTTAAGTAATTTTCAGTGACTGGAAGCAGCACTATTATACTCATATTGTTTGCTGTTTAGCCTACATGGTACGCATTTTTTTTTCTAAGAGATTCTATTTTATTTTTAAAAGTTTAAGTAAGTACACATTGATTAAAGATCATATTTATATCCCGAGTTGTCGTCCCTCGTAGTGTTATATAAGAATATTTGAGAAAATTTAAGTAACGTCATTCGTGCTTTACTTATTAGTAAGGTAATTAGAAATTATTATAACGTGAGTAAATAAATCTTCTAACACTTTTAATACTTTTTCTTGATTGCATTATATCTTGCCTAGATCACTGCATAAAAGAGAAATAAATAACACAGATTCTTGTATGGTCGGAGCGGTCGGGTGGAAGACAATATCATTTGCTGAAATTTTAAGGGATGTAGGACAAAAGGCCGACATCCAAAAGGCCGACATGGACAAAAAGCCGACAGCCGACCGACATAAGGCCGACAGGACATTAGGCCGACAGCCAAATGGCAGACATCCAAAAGGCCGACAGACCATTAGGCCGACAAACATAAAAATACATGTATCGTAAAATATGTGCTAATGCATAGAAAACCATCGAAATAAGGCATACAATAAGGCAAAACGTTCAAGAGAAGAGACTATTCTAGTTTATATCCTTATAAGGTGAACCATCGGGTCAAACGACTGGAGATTACGCGAGTGTCTAAAACACAAAGGATCAACACAAAGATATTGCGAAATGTTGTTACAGCTGTGTTTCATAGCTCCTTCTATGTAATCAAGGTGAGATAATTATCAAAAATCCAAGTCAAAAGCCGCTGGCATCATCGCCCACATGCAACAATCTGGAACGCCAAGAGACAATGTTAGTTGCGATCCTTATAAGGTGAACAATGGGGTCCATGCGACTCGGGATGAGGGAGTGTACACAGGATAAACAGATAGGTGGCAAAAAGAATGAAAGAGACCTTGACAATTATCTAAATAAGATTTCAAGGACCCAAAACACAGTTGAGAGAAAATAGCACCCTGGAGTCTTTTGTTTGATCTTAAAACTAAAGTAAGAACAAGGAAGAGTGGAAGTATATTGCTTGGTGAGCTGTCAAAAAGCGAATAAAAAACAATATTTACAGAACGTGAAAACAGAAATAGACTTGAATTTCTACTCGGCATCGCATACAATTTATAATACTAGGTCCTATTTTTCTCTCTGTTGTGCTATAACTGTATCATTATGTAACTGGTAAATGGCTGTAATTGTAGTTTGTTGTTTTATAAAATTTGTTGGCCTTTTGTCTTGTCGGCCTTTTGTCCAAGTCGGCCATTTGTTCGTGTCGGCCTTTTGTCAATGTTGGCCTTTTGTCCGGATCCCAATTTTAAGAGCCAATAAAATTAGTGTATTGTACCGAATAGATCATTTTTTGTTTACTTGTTACATAACAAGTCCTTATACTTCTTTTTTCTTTAGTTAAGGCCACTAGACGAGGTAAAAATTGTACAACGTGAAAACTTGTATTGCGTTGTTACTTTATTCAACCTAACTGATAAAATGAAAAAAAAAAAGAATTTACTATTATCGAAATAATCTGAAGTTCTGAAAACACGACAAAATAAGCCTGCACCTTATACAAACTAAACTCTTAAGAAGTGGTCCTTAACCCCACCTTAGTTTCATATGCTCATTCACCGAACCCTTCTCAATAGTTGTATCGTCCACACTGACAAAATGTGATCGTGAGACGAGTGTGTGTTGACCTCCACTACAGCCCTAAGACCCACTTAGCGATCCTATTAAGTTCTATTGGACCCAGGTGAAGAATCCCTGCTCTAAACACTTTTGATTTTCTTTTTTTATTCGTTTCCGTTTTTGAGGTGCATAGCAGTTGGCAAAACTTCGTTAGCTCACTTGAAATTTATGAAGATTGAACCCTAATAATCCAGCCTCCCTAGTTTCTATTTCAGACGATTATCTTCATGCCTTTTTTTTAATCTCGTTCTCTTCATTTTTTTATAAATGCTTTTTCAAATAGTACACATTTTTCTGCAGTTGTTATTGACTATGTGCCAGAAAGCACAACCCAGACTTCGAGCTATTGTGTCCTTTGGATTCCAGTTTGTTTCGTCTAGATTGTTTTATTGTACAAGTCAACTAGTTAACGAAACACCGATGTCGTATTCTAATGTGTACAATAAATGTTTCTGAAAAATAGATATTGTATGTCAATTGTATGACCTTATTCTGACACTCTTATAATCCAACTATGTAAAATATCATAACAGAGACTGTTCAAAAGATAGGGCATAAAAAGACTGGCCTAAACAAATTAGCGCTTGCTACAAATTTCCATCTAAAATTAAAAGAGGCAGATTTTTTTCTAATCTTTTTTAAAAGGATAACGCATCTTGGGCGGAATTTTATTAACGCCGGGTAAAGTTTTAGTCATCGAAAATTATACCCTTAACCAGAGGTGTAGCGAGGGGGAAGGGGTGGGGGTGGGGGAGCGGACCGCACCGGGTCACACTATTTAGGGGGGTGAAACCAAGGCAAAAAATAGCAAAATGTATAGAGAAAAATTATAATTCCATTTACTTTAGTGATTAATTAAAGTGTTAAATAGTCTTTTAAGAGTAAAGTTTAAAAATCCCGACAAGTTTGAGGGGAGCGGGGGGGGGGGGGGGGGGTGACATTGTAAGGTAAACCTGCTAATGATAGAGAAAACATTTCACATCAAGCTGTATTTATAATCCTACATATAGATAAAAACCGTTACTACGTGAGCACAGTTTAAAGCAATCGTCTTGGGAGTGGGGGCAGGGAAGGGGTGAATAGTGGGAAATTACATTAACTTAACGTTACAAAATGTCTGAGATAAACGTTTTGGTTGAGATTCGTAATAACTTATACTTTTAAAGAAGCCTTTGCAATTTTAATAACATTGCGAGTAATAACTTTGCCAATACACCACTAATGCTTGCATGACATAATTTTACTCAAAACTGTTTAAACTTAGGCCCTAAGCACTTCACATAACAGTCAATAACCAATAAATAAATCATTCGATTTCTCAAAAGTTGTTTGAAAACTTAAGCGAAGATAGGCACTATGCCTAGTATGTGTATGTGTGTGTGTGTGTATGTGTGTGTGTGTGTCCGTGCGCGTGTGTGTCTCCGCCATTCCACTCTGTTTTGGCCGAGCCACTTTAGTTCATGCCAGGTCTTGCCATTAACCTGCACTTCTTCTTCCATCTCTCTCCTCCATGTTCTCAGAGATCTTCCTCTCTTTTGTTTTCCAGAGAGGAAGACCTCTGGGAACATGGCGGAGAGAGATGTTATTATATTTTATATATAGCAATCTAAAATAAAAATATCACAAGCGTTTCATATATTTGTTATATTTGAATTTAAGCTATAACAATTATCCACTAAGCTGTATCATTTAAATTACAATAATCAAATAGTGAGCGCTTTGAATTGTAGATACCTATTACTAGAGAACTCATTATTATTATAGTTTATGTTTTATATGTGTCGTTGATTTGTATATCGTTTTATTAGAGCTAAATGCATTGCTTTTGCTTTAAAGATAAGTAAATGTGCATATAAAATTAACCGTTTGTCAATATGCTAAATGATATAAATACAAATAAATAATGGCCTTTAATAACATTGTATTGATTTAACCAAAATGCATTAAACTCAGAAATAAATATAACTTTGCTATCGTATTAAAATTGTGTTGAGACTTCATATGTGCATTCTGCTATTGATAACCTAAGAAGATCCTTGGACGTAATGGAAAAAAAAATCCCTGAAGTCAGCCATTTACGTTTAAACCAAAATTTCAAGTCGAACATTTAAAAACTGAGGCGAAAGTAAATACGTCTAAAGGCCTAACGGAATATTGCTTTACCACTAGCACATTTACAATTTTATGAGGTAAGACAACGTATACATTCTGTAACTGCAACCGTCATCATATAGCCTAGCTAACAGAGGTGGGGACAACATTAATGTGAACATATATTAAAACATTTACAATCATTAGAGGAAGTTGCGTTGTTTGTGGGTTATGTGCAGAGTAGACGTTAAATCTCCCAGTGATTGGTCAGTCTACATTGGGTTGTGGGCGTTGTCTTGAC